AAAAAATATGGCAATAAACTGAGTGGTTATTCGCAAAGGCATTACGAACATACGTATCCAAGCGCAGTAAAGGGGTCTATGGTAGAACGTCCCTTACGAAAGCCATATTGACGAGTGGGAGAGACTGTTGTGTGTCTCTAAATACCACACTAAACGTCTATTTACTAGACGTTCCATTACTTTGCAAACTGCACTGGTAAGAGCAATGGGACGATAGTGGGAGGTTTCATGTCCCGTAGTGCCTGGTTTGCGGAAAGGGAGAACAATGGCGGATTTCCACAGCTGTGGAAGAACTCCTTGTGACCAAATAAGATTGTAAAGGCGTAATAGGACTGCAAGGGCTGACTGATGTAAATGTTGTAGCATACGAATATGAATGTCGTCGGGCCCAGCTGCCGATGATCGACAAGCTGAGTGTTTGCCTCCAGTTTTGAAGTGTAAAAGGCACATTATACTGTTCTTCTCTGAGAGAAGAAAGTCCAAGGGTGCTAACTCTCTGGCAGACTTTGAGGAAAGAAATGAGGGGCATAGATGGAGTCCCTGAGAAATACGGACCAGATGATTGCCAATTTCATTGGCAACATCTAGTGGGTTTGCTATATCAACACCCGGCAACCCGCAGAACAGGAGCGGGTCAGGAGAATATTTACCACTCAGTTTTCGTACTTTTTTCCAGACTGCACTCATAGAGGAAGCAGAGGTGATGGTGGAGACATAATCTCGCCAGCAAGTGCGTTTAGCGTCACGGATGACACGGCGAGCGATCGCACGCTTCTGTTTAAAATCAAGGAGTCGCTCTGTGGTTCTATTGTACCGTACCTGCCCCATGCAGCGCGTTTCAAACGTACTGCACGAGCACAAGCAGGAGACCACCAAGGCACGCATTTCTGAGAATGCCTGCTCGAAGTTTGGGGTATAGAATGAGAAGCTGCGGTGAAAACGGAGGATGAGAAGAGGTGTTAAAAGCTCATCGATGGAGGACGAAGAAGGAACCTCTTTAAAAACAGTCAGGTGTGAGTAAAGGTTCCAATTTGCCCGATTAAATTGCCAGCGTGGGGTGCGAAGAGAGTGGCGAATATGAAGGGGAAGTAAGAATGATTGGGAAATGATCACTGTCATGTAAGTCCGGGTAGAACAGACCAAGTAAAGTCTAATGCGGCGGAGGAAGAGCAAACTGAGAGATCGATGCAAGAGAGAGTATGAGTCCGAGGATCAAATGGGTGTGAGTACCTGTATTTAAAAACATGGAGGGGGTGGGTGGCAAGAAAAGCCTCTAACTGAATACCACGGGAATCACAGTGAGACCCTCCCCAGAGGAAATGGTGGGCATTAAAATCACCAAGTAACAGAATTGGTGGCGGTAATGACGAAACAAGGAAGGCAAAATCCGGAATAGATAATGCCCGAGAAGGAGAGAGATATAAAGAACAGAGCGTATACCACCTATGTAAGTGGATACGGGCTGCTGTGTAATGCAGCGAAGTATGAACAAATAGCTGATGGTACGGAATATCAGTGCGGAGAAGAAGGGCACTTTCATTAAAGGTCCATCAGGAAAAGGATCTGAAGAATACAATAAATTATAGCCTGAGATGTGAGAAATAACAGCAGAGTGTAATTTTGGTTCCTGTAAGCAAACACCAACAGGGGCAAAACTGGGAGAGTAACATCTGAAGCTCACCCCGATTACCCCTGAGGCCACGTATATTCACTGTAAAAAGGCCATGAATGGCAATGATAAAGATACTTGAAATCCGCAGGTAAGGGTTCCTACGGACTAGGAGGTTAGAAAAGTCCACATGCGGAGGCAGTGGAAAATGTTCAAGCAGCGAAGGAACGGTGCGCTGTGAAGAAAGGAGTTGCGCAGATGGAGCAGAGGAGAGAGAAAGAGCGGAAGGTGGATCAGTGTCCATTGATGGTTTGGTCTCTGCAATATATTCAGAGATTGCTTCAAGTGTTTCAGAATTCAGAGATGTCGTATGGGAGACAATATTGGGAATGGTAGGGGGAGGATGAGAGTAAAGATTGGAACTGTATTGGACTGTACCAAGGTAGGGGGGGGCGAAAGGGTGGAGGGAACTGGAGAAGCGTGGCAGGGGACAGAAGAGACAGGAACCTGGGAGGTGGCAGAAGAGGAAGAAAACTTGGGAGGGAACAGGGGAGGAAGGTACATTACGAGGAGGAGGGTGAACCTCTGCACTTGTAACTGAGCCAGTGAGAGGGGAAGAACTAGGGGCAGAGACAGGGAGGGTAAATGAGGAGGTGGAAGATGGGTAGGAGGTGTTACCGGACCTTTTTTGACTTTTGAGAAGTAGAGGGACGATTGGGAAGAGGTGTCGTACGAGGTCTCGTCGATACTGAGGCTTGTAAGAGAGAACTCGAAGAAGCGAGATTAGACTGAGGCGTTGAAGTAGGGACGTCTGAGCCGAGGACAGCAAAAGGATTAGATACAGGAGTGATTATGGGAGAGGTAACCACAGAGGTGGGTTGTAGAAGATGGGATACCAGAAGTGGGGGGACGTTTTGAAACACGGGAATAAGAAACACGTGGGGAGTCTCCTTGGAGGCGGAGATGAGAAACTGCCATGGCATAAGGGAGACCTTCTGTCTCTTTGAGGTAACGGATTTCCCGCTCGTTTAAATAGACCTGACAACGGCGGTAGAGTACGAAGGGTGAGCCTCATGACAGTTAAGGCAAGAGGGAGATCGATTGCAAGACGTATTAGAATGGTCATCGGCACCACAGACTGGGCATTCGGCGATAGATCTGCAATATTTCGCTGGATGGCCAAATCGCCAGCAATTTCTACACTGTTGTGGTGTAGGGATCACTTTCGAACTTGTAACCGATGTCCTGCTATATAAACTGAGGATGGGAGTTCTCGGCTGTCAAAAGTTAAACGAGCCACATTGCTAGGGTATCGTCTCCGCCACGGGCAGGAAGAACGTAAGTGTTCTACCTTGAGGATTGGGAGATCTTGGAGTTCCAGCTGTTCTAGAATGTCGGTGCCACATGTCTGGAAATTTTGTTGTAACTATGGTATGGGGCAGAATAACGGTACCACTACAAGAATTGAGGGAATGATGTTTTTCAAGGGTGACAGGAACAGTATCTATATGGGAAAGAGAGAGAGCTCACGAGCCTGGGTAGCATTCTGTACGGTAATGATGCGCGTACCGCTCTTAAGAGCATGAAAAGAAATATCTTTACCAACATGGCGTAGGAGTGCCTTGCCAATACTATGGTCAGAAAGATAGGCAGTAGAGGAAGTTGGTCGTTAAAGTGAAGAATTTAGTCACTGTTCAGTCTGAAACTGAGCGTGGAAAGGTAGTGAAGGACGTGTCGATCTTTTCTGAGAAGACGAGAAGGTGATAGGTGGGAGAAGTATCATCAGCAGTAATTGTCGTTGACGTTTAGGCGTGGGACCAGAGTTGGTCCGACGTGGAACGGGTCGGCGATTTGAAAATTGCCGCACCGTAGAGGGAGAGGCGGAAGCATAGTCAGAGGAGAGCGAAGGTCTGATAAATCGAAGGAGTCAGTCGAGGCCTCAGTACCTGAAGCAGGTGAGGAAACAGCACCGGCAATAGGTACAGAGGCATGAGGAATGTCTGAAGAGTGGTCCAAAGACGAGGCGGGGTCAGAACGGGGTGCGGTATCAAGAAGGGGCCCGGGGGTACCAGGTTCATGGACTAGGGCTGCCATGGTTAGGTTACTTCTTTCTTTTTGTTTTTAAGAAAAAAAAAGAAAGAAGAAAAGAAAATAAAAATAAAAAAAAAGAAAAAAAAAAAGGGGGGACGGGGAGGGATAGTTCTAGGAGGAATGAAAGGGCCAGAAATCTCCTCCGCGCCCAAGAGGACTCGACACCGCTAGTAGCGCAGATGCAGCATGGAACCCGTGCCATACCCTACCCTTCATGCCAGTAAACCAGCAATCTGGGATAGCAACCTCACATCTGCCGAGCTACCTCGGTGGACAAAAGAGAGGGCGGCCGGATATCCGCCACAAAGCATACCTCCTTCAGCCACCACCCCCGGAATCCGAAAGGTGGCTTCCAGAGATACACCCGTCGCCCAAAAGACACCCAAAGCTACTCCGGGATACCGGAGAGGGATCGGACATCCCTAGGCAATCCAGATTCCACGGCAAACTACGCCACCGCCAAGAAACCTCAACGGAATGGGATCGACCCCGGTGTCCTTTCCTCTACCTAGGAACTAGCGTGCCTGTGGGAGAAATCCCAAAGGACAAAAAGAGGAAGGGCAAAAGGGAGGAGTGGGGAGGAGGAGGAGGAAAGGAAAAAGGGGAGGATGGGGAGGATGGGATAGGGGAGGGGAGATTGGGGGGTAATTAGGTTCGGTCTGAGGAAGAAGACCGATAGGTCTAATTCCTCAGACCAAGAGCCTCTTCACCACGCCAAGGAGCCCCCCTTGAAGAGGAGTGGGGTAGGGAAAAGTGAGATGCTACATGAACATATAAAGGTGGTAACTGAAGGGAAGATAAGAGCGAATGTAAGCGAAGAGAGAAGGGAGAAAGTACTAGTTTAAATTTTACAACTGAAGTTAGTGCAATAGATTAGCTTGTTAAGAAGTCATAAAAGTCTGCATCAAAGTTGGGACTGTCAACGAGGTGGCCCTCACTGACAGTAAGGAGCTCCTGATCCAAGACACTGAATTTATCTTCCCCTTCCTTGGATCAAAGCTGAGTGCCTATTTCAAGGCACATATGACCAATACAGGTTCAGTGCTTCCTTTATTAAAATGATATAATAAAGATTCAAAGGAAACAAGACAAGCATGCAAGAATGGAAGCATTCATTGCCAGTTTGCCAAGGAGATAAAAGTGCTGGAGAAGCTACTTCCAAACTGTAAAAAGAGTGAATTTTCATTATATTCATTAAAGTAAAATATAGAAGGTAGGTCTAGATAGGTTGTTACGATGCAGAGCTCCAGGTACCATCAAAAGAAGCGAAGATCAAGGCAATAGAAAATGCAGGTGTGCTATTTCATCTATCATAGATGGTGTGGCACTGCTTTGTGGATTATCAAAACTTTGCTCGGGCAGAGGCTCATCAGGTAGACTTGGTGCAGTGGTGCACTTCAGGTAGACTTGGTGCAGTGGTGCACTTCAGGTAGACTTGGTGCAGTGGTGCACTTCAGGTAGACTTGGTGCAGTGGTGCACTTCAGGTAGACTTGGTGCAGTGGTGCACTTCAGGTAGTGGACATGTGCAATTCTGAGCTTAAGTAAACAATTGTTGTGAGGTCAACTGTTTAATATAACTTGGTGAAACACAGGTACTACTGTGGTGGCTACCCTCATCTAGCTGAGCTAGATTATGGGCAGTGTCAGAAAATGAAACACAGGACTGGAGACAATTCACTATTCTAATCTAAGCCAGTAAAGTATTTTCTCACTTAACAATTTTAGCTTCAGTTTAACCCTAGATTTACACAAGTTACTTTAAAGCTAATTATATCAGTCATGTCTCGTGTGACTGGACTTAATACATAAAAACAATCATGAGAAAAAAAGTCATATTAATGCAGTGTAAAAATTTTTAAGGAGGCACAGAGAAGAAAAACCAATGAACTTGCCAATTGTCACTATCTTGATAATCAACCAAAAAATTATGATCAAATTGGTCACAGTTTAACATAAATTTAATGAACTTTAAGGTGATAGCCAAGTTTACTTAGGTGCCAAATCACTTTTCAGGCATGACGACACAGTCGAACATCCCTTTATACTCAATGAGAAAAGGCAGAGTAAACATGACAAACTCACCACTCTGACTAATACATATGACACTTGAAGGAATATGAGCATTATGGTATGGAAAACAACTATAACTCACTGGCAAGTTTGTCAATTGTCTTCTCAAATCCTCATATAAACCCATTTCATACTAAGTACAATTTTATTGAGCAAGAATATTACTAAAAAATGAACATATTACTACACATTGCATATCTTTACTCCTTCAGAATAAAATTAAAAACAAAATGGCATCAGAGTCAATACAGAAATGAATAAGACACATGCAATACTTTACTGTGGAGATGTTTCACCAACCAATGACTTTTTATTTATCCAATACAGAGAATAATACTGAAGACAGTGGAAGACTAAGTTATTTGAGGAGATCAGACCTTTAGCATTGATGAATCTGTTCTAGTCAGTGGAAGACATGAAGTAGTTAGAGCTGAGCAGTTCTTCAGCCTTGAAAGATGTTCAGTTCAAGACTTAATGATCCTGGAATTAATATCGATGAAAACACCCACCACAGGATAGCCACATTACTACATATAGTTACCAATATAATTAATTTTAAACTGCACTATGGCTCATCGTGAGGTGGTTGCTTTTGTGTACTAATTTCGGTCACTTAAAACATGACTGGTAAATTAATTTGTTTGTCATTAAGATGTTGGACTGATCACCACCTATCAAATCAAAGGGACTGATCACCTCAAATTTATAATTTATGTCTTCCATCACCGTATCCTTCTCTGTACTGGACTGATCAAGTCACTGGCTGGGAAAAATGTCTCCACAAAAGATACACAAATGTTGCACATGTCTTATATGTCTACTTAATGATTCTGTATATCATTAATGTGTCAATGTCGAAAAAAGCAGCACTACAGTTCACAAGAATGAGATAAATATCCATGTTTTCAGAGAATCTAAGGCTATATGGGTTGAAAGACATGCTAATCATACTATTATACACAGAAGTGATTAGTAAAAGTTGGCAAACTATTACAACTACTCCTGCATGCATGAAAAATGTTTTGTCCACTATTTTTACACTCGGGTATTGGGGGATACATATTATTCAGAAAAACTAAGGCAACAAATAGAACAATTATGTTCAGTGTTATATAATGTTAATGTTACAATGAGACTAATACTGTATATGCTATTTATCTAGACCACAGCCAGTTAGTAGTACCATTCTTCCAGGAACAAACATGTTACCCAATTGCACTCTAGCCTGACTGGATATAATAGTTTTATTTTTCTTCATGTAAAAACTTAGGAATGCCAACAATAAGATGCAATAAGGAATGTAGTTCCACACCCAATACAACATGGATTAATTTATGCTTAATTTATGGGAGGCACATTTCTCTATTAGTTTTTGTCTGTCAATCATTACTATTACTAATAAAAATTAACTTATAGCCTATTTTTCATGTTAAACATGTAAATCAGAATAACAACTATAATAATAATATAAAAAATAATAATACAGTGTAAAGATTTGAATAAAATATGGAGCTTTAAATTGTCTTTACTATATTAATTCCTTATTATATAGGATCTGTTCTTTGAACAGATAAGGTATACAATATGTATGTGTAACAATTTCAAGAGCAAAAAGGGCCATTATCACTAAAACTGAGAATCTCCAAGTCTTTACCATTCAAACTGAATTACATAGGGACATCTCTAACAATCAATGTGATTAACATGAGACTATTTGGCAACTGGTATTAACAAAAACTTACTGTCCTGTATGAGAAAGAACCCCTGAGTATAAAGAGACTTCATACACAGACAAGGTCACATTGCTAGACAAGGACACAATCTCCTATAATAACTCATACAAAAACTATTTACAGGTACAAAAAATATTTCTCTACTAACAAAAACCCATATTAAAGAACAGATGAACACAACTGTTTGAAACACTGAATCACTTATAACTAAATTACTAATTTAAACACCAACAAATTATGCAAGACAGTAATTAATAATATCAAGAGTGTATTAAAAACATGCTCAGTGTACCTGCTGAATTATGCAAATAAAAAAATGCAATTTGTATGATGTACAAGTGAACATTACAGCCAAGTTTCAGATTTGCAAAAATAGGAATTTACATTTTCAAAAATGATACAAGAAAGCAAATAGTCAATGGCATAAATTCAGAAGCACCAAGAAAAACATTGCTTACCCTGTAACATTTTTTTCCACTCAGTATTAAAAATATCTGAGTTAAATATTGAATTGTATACAACATTCTGTATGTTCATTATTTTTGTTTGTGAATTTTATCCTGGTGTAAAAGGAGTTCAGACTTTTTAAACTTTTTAGACAGGATATGTATCATTTAATCTGCCGTATCATTTGCTCACTTATTGGGTAAAATGATATACCACTGCAAGACTAAGATGGAAACCAATAGTTCAATTATTTTTTTTTGAAACTCAATGGACTTATCCCACCAAGGCAGGGTGGCTTAAAAAAAAAAAAAAAAAAAAAATCGCTAACATTCACCTAGGCCCTGTCATTCCAGAAGTGTAACATTACAGTCAGATTACCCTCCATACCACAACTTCCCCACCCCTTCCTCAGGGTGCAGGCACTGCTATTCCGGCTAACTGGTTATCCTGAATCCTTTCCTAATGGTCACTCAACTCACATTCCTACAGCATGGCCCTTAAATGTCACTTGCCTTCATGTACTCCTGTTTAAACATGCTCACACAAGCCTGCTTGATGCTCAAGCCCCTAAAACTCGAAGCCTTTTGTATCCAATCCCTCCGACCATTCTTGAAATGACCCATACTAACAATTTTTTTCCATATTCTGTGCAAGTAGGAGTCGATCAATTTAATACATATCGAAAAGCATTCTGACAGGATTTGCCCTTAATAACATTCGTTGTGATCACTGCTAATGAATTCCCTTGCTAGAGATTTGGGCAACAAAAGCAGGGCATACTGCTGATTGTAACCCCATCATTACTAGTATATCTCTACAATGTGTTGTCAGCATCACTGCAGAAGTATGACAACATTTAACCAGGATATCAGACTCTCAAATTTGAATTCATTACAATTCTTAGTTTTACACTACATTATTCTGAGTTAAGAAAAGAATTTTCAGAGCTTGCTTTACAATCACTGAAATGTAACAATTTTTTTCTTTGAATTTTATCAATGAAATAACAAAAGTTGTTTATATATGTCAGAAGAATTCAAAGATAAAACTAAAACAGATATTTTGATTTTAATAAAGCTGAATGAAAGTAGTCAGCTTTTGTGAATTAATAGTTCCTGCAATGAGTGCAGCTGTCAAGCACAGCTGCTCTCCTTTCAAACAAATTAAACCTTACTCCTGAAATTCAAAAGGTCAAAAAAGGACTGCAAAGCTTTGACCTATCAAGTGAAAAGCAACCACTGCAAAATTTTTAAAGCCAACTAAAATTTTACAGCAAAGTTACAGATCATTTACTAGAAAATGAAGAATTCCATTGAACCATAAATCAACAAAAAAAAATATTAAGGGAGGGAGATGTTGCAGCTGAGGGGTAATAGAGCAACTTAATCAATGACTGTTAAAAAGTTTTCTTCTCTGGATCACCCTGCCTTGGTGAAAGAGATAGCTGACGAGATAAAAAATATTCATCCACTGGCATTATCATAAAGCTCAATTTTTCCATGACATGACATTGTAAATAGTGCTTCAATAATCATACTTCCTTCAAGAAAAAGTACGAGATTGAACACAGCTGCACATAAAGCTCCAGCAGCAACATTAAATACATGAATAGTGATCAATAAGTTAAATGACTACTTTATGAGGAATAAGATTGTAAAATAGATATCTGAATACATACATAGTGTCTCAGGACAGTACCACAATCAAAATTTTCATTTCACATAAAATGTTCAAGACAATGCTCAATTTTCCCATTTAAAAAGTTTACAGAGCAATTCTAATTTAAAATTTTGTTAATTTATGTGTCTCTATACAATATAACATTAATTATGTTATTTTTATGCACAATGTAGTTAAAATTTCAAATACACCATAATATTGCTGCATATTGTAAGTACGATATAAATGGCAGGAGAATGCAATGATTTCCTGCATCACATTTCATGACAAGGGTCTAATGTAAGGTGAATATGTTAAAGACAGCTAACCAGTTAACCAGGGGGTTTGTACAAAACAGACTTGCAATACCTTAAGGAAGCCACGTGGAAGAAACCCTGATAGACTGTAGCCTTATGAAACAAATTTTTAGTGTACCAGACAATAATTGTGATAACACACACCACTATTTCTTGTGTATCAGGCATTCATTGTGGTACCACACACTACTATTTCTATTGTATCTGGCATTCATTATGGTACCACACACCACTTTCTTGTGTGCCAAGCATTCATTGTGGTACCACACATTACTAATTCTAGACCAGGCATTCACTGTGCTACCACACACCACCAAAATGGATGTTCTCTCCTGTATTCTATACAGCACTGGAAGAAAAGAGGCTATTTGAAGGTCTACTTTTGAAGAGCAAGCATTCTTTCAACTTTTGCAACCTTAATTTTTATAAAAGTATCTTTAATCAATGTTTTGTTAACACCTCAAACATATTTCATCAACAACTAAATCTAATGTGTGTGTGCATGAATTCTTCACAAATAAAGCTTTAAAATACAATTAATAAATTATCTAATATCCTGAATAATATAAAAAATATTCTTCACTTAATACACAATATGATGACCTAGCATGACCTTAAATTACTGACCTGCCATCTTTTTAATATACATGTACAACCTAGTTATAATTAATATTGTTTCCTAACTATCATCCTATTTTATTCCTTTGAGCTCAGTGCCTGAGATTCAGCCCCCAGAGTGTTCTTCTTCACAGGAGAAGAGAAAGTGGGTAGGGAAGATTCTGGAAGATTGGAAGCAGTATCAGGGGATGTTGGAGGTGGGGTGCGCTGTGCTGGTGACATACTGGGCTTGTCAGTTTGATTGACTAGAAGATGAGGTGGCATTGGCAGCTCCTCATCTGTGAATGGAGAAGTAAAATTAGTAGATGTTAAGGATTATAACAGCTAAAGAGATTAAAGGAATTAACAAAGCAAATACAGACTGTATAGTACAGATTTTTAAGGTCAAACTAAATTTCAAATACCACTATTGAAGAACCTTTTCAATAACTGAAGATAAATTAGACTCCCGCCCAAAGTGATGCACAATCACCACTTTTATAGGAAGATGCCATAAAGTGATCATTATAGTATTAACCCGTAAACGGTCCAAACGTATATATACGTTCTCTCGCGTAGTGCCCCAAATTTTTGGAGAAAAATTAAATCTTTTTTTTTTTAATAGGAAAAAAGAGCATATGGTACCCAGGCATCCCCAACTATTTTAATATGGCGCACAGTGAGTGCGCACACCCATTCTCTCATGTCTAGGCGACTCAGGCTTATTGTGGCAATGTTGAATGTATGACAAATAAAACGTATATATATGTATACGTTTGGGGGACTAGCGGTAAAAACGTATACAGTGGACCCCCGCATAGCGACCTTAATCCGTGCAAGAGGGCTGGCTGTTATGCGAAATGTTCGGTACGCGAATGAATTTTCCCCATAAGAAATAATGGAAATCAAATTAATCCGTGCAAGACACCCAAAAGTATGAAAAAAAAAAAATTTTACCACATGAAATGTTAATTTTAATACACACAAACTGAAAAAGGCATGCACAATTACATGACACTTACTTTTATTGAAGATCTGGTGATGATTGATGGGATGGGAGGAGGGGAGAGAGTGTGTTAGTGTTTAGAAGGGGAATCCCCTTCCATTAAGACTTGAGGTGTCGAGTCCTTTTCTGGGGTTACTTCCCTTCTTCTTTTAATGCCACTAGGACCAGCTTCAGAGTCACTGGACTTTTTTCGCACAACATATCTGTCCATAGTGGCCTGTACCTCTCGTTCCTTATGATTTGTCTAAAGTGGTTCACAACATTGTCATTGTAACAGTCACCAGCACGGCTTGCAATAGCTGTGTGAGGTGATTTTCATCAAAAAAGGTTTGCAAATTCAAGCCATTTGCACACATTTCCTTAATCTTTGAAGTAGGCAATTTCCTTCAATTTCTCTCTCCCCCCTTTGAACCAGTTTCCCCAGGTCTGGCCTCTTGCTCTGAAGTTGATCTATCAGCTCATCATGGTTAGTTCTTCATTGTCCTCCTCCACCAACTCTTCCACATCCTCCCCACTAACCTCCAACCCCAAGGACTTCCCCCAATGCCACAATTGATTCCTCAACTGGTATTTCTCCTCTCAGGGTTAGCCTCAAACCCTTCAAAATCCCTTTTGTCTACACATTCTGGCCACAGTTTCTTCCAAGCAGAGTTCAAGGTCTTCTTAGTCACTCCCTCCCAAGCCTTACCTATAAGGGTTTTTACAATTGAGGATATTAAAGTGATCTCTCCAAAACTCTCTTAGAGTCAGTTGAGTTCTGAGGTCACTACAAAGCACCTTTCAAACAGAGCTTTTGTGAACAGTTTTTTGAAGTTTGCAATAACCTGCTGGTCCATGGGCTGCAGGAGAGGAGTGGTATTAGGAGGCAAAAACTTCACCTTAATGAAGCTCATGTCCCCAAAAGGGCGCTCTGCCACGTCTGTAGGATGAACCAGGGGCATTGTCTAACACCAGGAGGGACTTAAGTTCTAAATTTTTTTTCAGTTAGGTAAATCTTTGACATTGGGGCAAATGCATGGTGTAACCAGTTATAGAAAAAGTCCCTAGTGACCCATGACTTACTGTTTGATCTCCACAGCTCACACAAATTATCCTTGAGGACATTCTTTTGCCTGAACGCTCTGGGAGTTTCAGAGTGATACACTAATAAAGGCTTAACTTTGCAATCACCACTAGGATTGGAACACATCAACAAAGTAAGCCTGTCTTTCATAGGCTTATGTCCTGGGAGTGCCTTTTCTTCCTGAGTAATGTAGGTCCTGCTTGGCATTTTCTTCCAAAACAGGCCTGTTTCATCACAATTAAACACTTGTTCAGGTTTCAGTCCTTCAGTTTCTATGTACTCCTTGAATTCCTGCACATATTTTTCAGCCGCTTTGTGGTCCGAACTGGCAGCCTCACAATGCCGTATCACACTATGTATGCCACTACGCTTCTTAAATCTCTCAAACCAACCTTTGCTGGCCTTAAATTCACTCACATCATCACTAGTTGCAGGCCTTTTTTAATTAAATCCTCATGCAACTTCCTAGCCTTTTCGCTTATGATAGCTTGAGAAACGCTATCTCTGCTAGCTGTTTTTCATTTATCCACACCAATAGAGTCTCTCAACATCTTCCATCACTTGCGATCTCTGTTCGAAAACACAGTTAAACCTTTGGCAAGAACAGCTTCCTTGATTGCCTTTCTGTTGCCCACAATAGTACAGATGGTTGATTTGGGTTTCTTGTACAACCTGACCAGGTCGGTGATACGCACTCCACTTTCATACTTATCAATGATCTCTTTCTTCATCTCTATTGGAATTCTAACCCTTATTGCTGTAGGGTTGGAACTAGAAGCTTTCTTTGGGGCCCATGGTCACTTATTTCCAGAAACAGCACCGAAAAACACTGTAATAATACGAAATATTCCGATTGTATGCTTGAATGTTACCGCGGAGGCTGGCTGGTAAACAATGCCACCGGCGGAACATATGAGGCTGGCTCAGGCCGCACATTGGACGCGTCTCGGACGAAGGGCGCTGAGCGGGTTTTTGGGCGGTATGCGAGGCAAAATTTTAGCGATCAAACCGTCCGGTATGCGGATTGTCCGTTATGCAAGGCGTCTGGTATGCGGGGGTCCACTGTATATACGTTTGGACCGTTTACGGGTTAATTTTTCTTAAAATTTAATAATGTACCTGTGTGTCCGCGTATGGGGAATACACACCCGTCCTACCACCACCATCCACACCCACCACCACCCACACTCACTACCCCCCCCCCCACATCCCCTACTACCAACCACACCCACCATCTTGCTAGAGACTTGCTTGCAATACATCTCAGATGCTCCTCCAAACTACAATATCCCTACCTCTCCATCAGTGCAGGCACTGTACTCCTCACCACCAGGCCTCAAATCTGGCTAACCATTTTCCCTGAATCCCTTCATATATGTTACGTTGCTCACACTCATGTCAAATAAAAAAATTCACCTTCTCCACTCACTCCAATCTAATACACTCACACATGCCTGTTGGATATCAAAGCCCATGCATACAAAAACTCCTTTACCCTCTCCCTCCAAATTTTCCTAGGGCAAACCCCTACCTCTCCTTCCCTCCACTACAGATTTATACAACCTCCAAGTCATCCAATTTTACTCCAAACTCTCAATGTCCAAACCATATCAATAACCCCTCACCACCACCTAATCACCAAACTACAAATTCTCTTCATAATTTTCACACACCACATTACCCTCAAACGTAACATCTCCACTTCCTCCAGCCTACTCCTTGCTGCAACATTCACAATCCATGCTTCATACCCACATAAGAATGTTGGTGCCACTACTCTCATATTCCCCTTTTTGCCTCTATCCAACTCTTTCCTCTTGTTAATTCTACAGCTCACCTTGTCTTTCACAGACCCATCTGCCAAAAAATCCACTCTCAAACATCAATACACATTCACTTCCTCCATACACCCTTTTTCAAATGTTATATCCAGTCTTTCATTACCTAAACTACTGTTATTTTCATCATCTTGCTCATTCTTATCTTCACTTTCAATATCCTTTTATATACCTTCACAAATCTGTATCAGTTTTTGCAATATCTCTTCAGAATCTCCCAAAAGAAAAGTGGCAACTCATTTTATATTAGTCTATCTTTTAACCATTTGACTGTTTCAGTCATATATATACGTCTTACGAGCCAATGTGTTTGACGTATACATGCTCCAAAATTCTAGCAGCTTCAAATCAAGCAGGAGAAAACTGGTAGGCCCACATGAGAGAGAATGGGTCTGTGTGGTCAGTGTGCACTGTATAAAATTCCTGCAGCATGCAGTGCATAATGAGAAAAAAAAACTCCAATCGTGTTTTTTGGATTAAAACGCCGACTTTGAGGTGTATTTTTGTATAGTATTTATTGCTGTATTCTCATTTTCTTGGTCTCATTTGATGGAATGGAAAACATATTACAAAAATAGAGATGATTTTGATTATTTCACAGTGAAAACGACCTTGAAATTGAGCTCAAAGTAGTGGAAATGTTCATTTTTTACCAATGTTCAAGAGTAAGCAAATCACACCACATGTCTAATACACGTCAATTGGAGAGTCTAATATTCTTTCACTACTGCACTGATATTATTTATACCATTTTTACAATAATGGAGTAGTCTGCATAACAGTAAATCTTTTTTTTTTTTTTTGTGAATAAAAAATCAAAATAGAAAGCATGAGTAATATAAGAGGGGCCTGGAGATGTGATTAATGAACAGAGGATATGTTATTTTAGTGCCAAGAATGTCTGCATTGTTTATTCTGGACCCTATTTTGAAATTGACATATTTTTTAATTTGCATGAAATTGGCCAAATTGCCAATATCTGACCACTTTATTGGGTAGTTGAAATCGGAAAATGGGCAGTTTCTTGTACTCAATTGATAGAAAAAAATGGAGTTCTAAAGAAACAGCTATGAGTTTGGTCGACTGGAACAATGGAATTGGCCAAAAATAGGGCTCAATTCGGCAAAATCTCTGATGCATACATATCACCCAGATCGCTAACTTCGCGGGAGTGTAATTCCGTAAGTTTTCCATCAAATTTTGTACTTTTGGTGTCATTATCATTGGAACAAGATTCTCTAACATTTCATAAGAATTTTTTTTTTTTTTTCCAAAAATTTTGCGACACCAGGAGACACTTCAGGATTTGGGGTTGCGACAGTCAAAGGGTTAAACTGGTGTTCAAACCTAGTTACTTTAGTATTTACTGGTAATGAATTTCAAATTTTGGGG